AAAGGAAACCAGCGATGTGAAACGGATTGGGGTAGAAAGTGAGTAAAGTGAAAAAAGATTCAAACCAAAAGTTTACCTGAAATATTGAAGTGTCTAATAGGTCAGTAAAGTATGTACACAGTCAGGTTATTTCCAATCCAGAAGCAAAATATAGGTCAGCCCAGCCTAACAACAAGATGATATAGTGGGGAGGCAATCTCACATTTATTTCCCCTCAGAGAGAAAGATGTACCTGAAAATACTTTTTCTGGACTAATTTGTAACTTTCAAGGTGAAGATATAATCATTAGACTCTGGAACTCTGTGTAAGGGGGCCTGGGGAAACAAGCAAGTAAACCTGGGAGGATATCCTATGCTCACTATCCTGTTCTTCCTGTATCATTTAAGATACCAGAAGATAAACATTTGTAACCAATAAGAAAGTAAAAAACAAACCTGGAAATAATGAGAAAAGACAAGATGGAGAGCTATTTCCAGTGTCTGGGGTATTTGTGAGGTAAGATAGGATCTTATCTCCCTTCATTTCTGGAAATCCTGAATCCAATTACTTTTTGAAACTGCTGTTGTTGTTCAAACAATATTAACAAATACTTAATTAACTCTTCCTATTTTTTCTAGTTGTGCACTCATCCCTTAACCCTTTGTCATCCAGTTCCCAGTGAAACAATTCTTTGAAAGTCACTAATAACCTTCTAAATATTATATTTAATAAACATATTTCCATCCTTAAATTTTTTACCTGTCTGTACCATTTGACATTATTAATCACCTTTCCCTTCTGGAAAATTTTACATCCTGTAGTTCCACAACATTGTGCTATTTTAATCTTCCTCCTACCTCTTTGAGCCTTCTTTTCTGCCCGATTTGTTTACTTATATATATTTCCAAAGGTAAATAACCTTGTAGTTATAACAAAGTCTAAAGCAATTCAGCATCTCTAGCCTCTTTTATATAAGCCAAGGACCTTAATATTCTTTAGCCAAATGCAATGAATATCTCTCTTCCTTTGTCACAAATGTCTAGAGTTCTTTTAGTTTCAGTTTTTGTTTAACCACTCACAAACAAGAAATAATTTTCATAAGTAATTATAGGACACATGTTATCAATTTCTGTGATTATTGTTATTTCTCCTATGCCATGCCTTCCTATCGCACTTACTAATATTACAGAGGCAAACACTATGATAATATTTTAGTGAGAATCTATAGGTGTGGCAAACTCCTTAAGTCTTTGTATGTCTGAAAATATCTTAATTTTCCCCTCATTCTTGAGGAATAGTTCAATGCCTACTTCTAGGTCATTTTTCCCCCCTCAGCATTCAAATATGTTGCTCCATTCTCTTCTGAATTTTTTTGAGCTATCTGGAATCACCCATTATAAGGTGGGTCCTGTCACAAGCTCTAAATCATATAGGCAGACACCCAAATCCATCAAAAAATGAAAATATACACCTGGGACACCAAGTATGAGCAGGATCAGACCCAGACTCCCATGCCACCAGGGCTGCACAAGAACAAGTCTCAGCTCACACCAATGGTTATATGGAGGTCCTTGTATGAACAGCTAGAGGAGGGAAAAAACCTGAGCTTTTATGGACAGGTTTGTGAATGGGCTGGCTGGATAAGCAGGTTCCAGCTGGAAATGGAAAGCAGCTGCATGACAGTATCACTCAGGGTGTCCCTGAATAACAACAGAGAACAAAAGTTTCTCAAAGCTTGAAGCTTTGAGCTGTGTACCTAATGACTCACTTTGTGGGGCGCTCTATAAAGTGCTTAAGGCTGAAAGCTATACAGGAGAGCTTTGAATTCTCCTCTATTACCCACTATTTTCAGTCAATATTCTTAATTTTAAGATAACATAAAACTGAGTTAAGATACTTATGCAAAAAAGGGGGGAGATTTTATGATAAGGATAGGAATATTTTTTAGAACTACAGGGCAGGAATGAAAGCAGGCCTACGGAAAAGAAAATCCCAGAAAGAGATTGGAATCACATCTGGACTCTCCCCCTATCTCATCTCTGTTCCTCTCTGAGTGTCATTGCCTCGCTCTTATTTTCCTTCCTTTTCTCTATACACTGACATTTTCTGCTTCTATATTAGAAATGGTTTGTGGAAAATTGACAATCTTTATCTCTCAAGGTTTTATGTATGTATTTGAATGTATGCCATGGTCCAACTTTGGAGAGATTGAATTTTTTTTAATTTGGTATAAATATGGATTTCCATCTTAAAAACAAAAACAAACAAAAAACCTCTAACTGGCCCAGCCTGAATCAGGCTCCTAATCTGGGTCCAATTAAACTGTGTAAAATAGAGTAGCCTTACTCAAAATGGTTGCTAGAGGATCAGCCTTGACTTTGACGGGAACTAGTCCACTGTGAACTGAACAAATACATATACTCTACCATCCTCATTCATTCTCCAGTTATCCAGGCTGAAAACCTCAAGTCAGCTATGGCTTAGCCTTCTCTTTCATTTGCTACATAGTTCTGTCACCAAAAACTTCCATTCTCGCCTGGCTGGGTGTGGCTCAGCAGCTGAGCATCAACGTAGGATCCAGGAGATCATGGTTCGATTCCCAGTTGGGGCACATGCCCGGGTTGTGTTGTGGCCTCGATCCCCAGTCGGGGGCATGCAGGAGGCAGCTGATCAGTGATGACTCTATCATCATTGATGTTTCTATCTCTCTCTTTCCCTCTCCCTGAAATCAATTTTTTTTTTTAAACTATTCCATTCTTCTTTCAAGATTACTTTTATCTAATCATATCTTCTTTCCACTGTCTTGTTTGCCAAAATGATAATTCAGAAAAAGGGTATTTCATTAGTTAAATCTGCATTCTTTAATTACTCGTGAGTATAAACTTCTTTCCCATGTTATAGAATATTAGTAGTTCTGCTTTATCGGTTTGTATCATGGACTGAATTGTGTCCCACCTCTCCCCCAAATTCATATGTTGAAGCACTAACCTCTAATGTGACTGTAATTAGAGATGGGGCCTTTCAAGAGGAAATTAAAGTTAAATGAGGTCATAAGGGTGGAGCTCTGATTCAATAGAGCTGGTGGTCTTGTAAGAAGAGGAAAAAAACATCAGGAATGCTTGCATATACAGGAAAGACCATGCGAGGACACAGTGAGGTTTTCTGAAAATCAAGAAGAGAGGCTTCAAAAGACACCAAACCTCTCAACACCTTGATCTTAGACTTCTAACCTACAGAACTGTTAGAAAATAAATTTCTGTTAAGCCATCCAGTCTGTGGTATTTTGTTATGGCAGCCCTAGCTAATACACTTTGCCTCTGTTCACTAACCATTTTTCTTCTATTTTCTTCTGTTAAGAGCTCTCTAAACATTAGATGATTAGCCTTTTGTATAGAATATTTAACTTACAAATATTTTTAAGTTACAAATATTGTTCACAATTTATTTGTCCCCTCACCTTTTTGTTTTGTTTTGTATACTTAAATTTTTTTTAGTGTAGCCAAAATTTTCATACCTTTCCTTATGGTTGTTGCATGTGAAACTGTGCTTAGAAAGTCCTTCCCATTCCCAGAATTATATTCACCTATATTTTATTCCAATTTTTGTGTCTCCTCTGAATTTTGTTTTCAGTATATGATGTAAGATAGAACAATTTTTTTCATATAGCTAACCAATTATCCCTGTACACTTATTCATTTTCCCATTTGAAGTATTTTATCATTTCCTAAATACTTATATGCACTTAAAATTTCTGCTGCTTTTTACTTATGGCACTCATTAATTCAATAATTCACTTTGGAGATTATTTGTTCTATATTTATCATTAGGAAAAATGAATTTTCCATCAAATTCAAGAAACACTATTTTATCTCAAATTATTTAAAATAGGGGGAAAGTTTTAAATGTTTTTAAATGAGAATACTATCATGTAATTTTTAGGTAACGATAAACATCAACATAAACTTAGACAAAATTACTTTAAGCCAATAAAGAAGGGGAGAGAGTACCATCTAACTTAGCTGCATTATCTTACTAGAGAAGATAAATGGCAGAGAGGAAACTCCTTGAGGACTGGCAGTAGGCTTTTTCTCAGGCTCCTTTTGATAGAATAGTTGTCCTTTTTTTAAAAATTAGTTATTCAAAATTTCTTTTTTTCCCCTCAGGGGACAGGAGGGTTAGATGTTTTTACATGCTCAGTGGTAAGAAGAAAACCTAACGGTGGTCAGTGGGTTGAGGGCTGTGTTGTTCTCTCTTGAAAGGGAACAGACAACATCTGGGCTGTAGAGGCCACCAGCGTCCACGCCGAACGTCCTCTGCTGCCCATGAAACGCCTCCCGTCCGTGTTCAGGGCCGGAGCAATTCCAGGGGCGTTAGGAAAACTTCGAGAGGCTGGAAGATCCTGCCGAAGCTTTAGCTGCCGTCACCGTCAGCTAACCATTCTCTCCTCCCAGCTCTCGGTTTGCAAGCGCTTGACAACCACGAGGCACTGTGAAACGCGTTCCCGACGTGGCTTTTGAGAAACGAAAATGAGACTGGGGGACCCAAACTCCCGAAATCAAACTGGCAAAAAGCCGTTCATCCCAAGAGAGATCTCTGGCGAACCCCGGCTCTGCCGCGCCTCAAGGTGTGTCCAAGCGGAGCGGTAAAGTGGGAGAGGCACGGCTGAAGGCGAGCCTGGCGTGGAGACGCGCGTGTGAACGCAGCCCCGCTGCGCCCGCCGGGCCTCTCGGGACCTTCCCACGTACCTAAGGCGAGAGGCCGACGCGGGCGGGCAGAGCTCCCGGAGGCGGAGGCCGCGGAGAAAGCCCGCGCAGATTTCTGAAGGCCGTGAGGTGAAGCTGTTAGACCGTAACGACCCGCTCCGCCAGCGCCGTGTGAACAACGCGCCGCAAAACTCCCCACCGCGCGCGGCTCCCGCTCTCCAGAAGTTCCGGGACCTCCCCGCCCATCCCGGCGTCCTTCGCGCTGCGCACGAGAAAGCCCCGGCGCGCTTTGGCCCCCTCGGCCGCCGTCGGCTCTGAGTTGCTATAGTAACCGAGCTGCCATCACTATGTCGTTACCACAGGCCTCTCAATCTCGGGTGTTCGTGGAACTGGTTCCCTGGGCGGACCGGGGCCGGGAGAACAATCTGGTCTCGGGCGGAGAAACGCTGCCGAGCGTCCGCCGTCCCCTCTCTTCAGCACAGAGCCAAACCTCGACCCGCGAGGTGCACGTCAGCGGCACCGCGGAGGTGTCCGCGAGCCCCGACCGCGCGCAGGTGGCGGTGCGCGTGGGCAGCACCAAGGAGGCGGCGGCCGAGGCCAAGAAGAGCGTGTGCCGTCGCCTGGACTACATCACGCAGAGCCTCCAGCAGCAGGGTGTGCAGGTGGGAGCTCGGCGCCGGAGGGAGCTGGAGCCGCGTCGCAAAAACCCAGAGGGTCTGGGCCTTCGGGCCGCTGGAGCGGGGGTGGAGGTGTTGGAGGGTCTTGAGCAGGAGACACCTTCGTCTCCGCGGCGTTACAGGGTGCCGCACCCTGGCGGGGAGTCCAGGCGCCAGTAACTATTGGCCGCACGCAGTGACTCGTAAAATAAGAGAATGCAAACTGAGTAGGGTTTTATATGGTGATATTTGCCGCAATAATTTTCTTTTAATCTTGAAATGATTAACTGTTAAACTTGAAACGTTAGACGTAAATGCTTGCCTAAGTACTGTGCTCTACTCTGATCATTTTTTGTGTTGATGCTGCACCGTGGAGCTGGCAAGTGAAAAGCGTGGCCTGCTTCCTCCCGGCCACGAATGTTTGCTGCTTCAGTATTTTTTGCGAACAGTAATGGAGGGGTGGGAGGCTGGAATTGCAGACAACATTTTTCTCCAAAGTTTTCGGTGTTAAGTTTAAAAATTGGGCCATTATATTGTAGATGCCATCTATATTAACTGCCCCTACTTACCAGAGATGTCTATGAAACAAATCACTAAATAAATCTAACCTTAAGCCTACTAATAAGAATAAAAAAAAGTAATGTGCTATACACTAATAGCACATTAGTTTAATCCATACAACAGCCTGGGTACACAGGTTTTAATATAATCATTTTCCAGATCTAAAGAGGTTAAGTAATAAGTAATGCTTTGAACTTCAGCCAGGGTGATACGTGACCTCCTGTATTCCTGAAACCAAAATACAGTTACTTCCAGCAATGCCAGACCCTGGATAATTAGAATAAAAAAAAATCAGAAACCATAGAATGGGTCAACTCTCTCAATTCTTTCATTTTACAGAATAGGACTCTAAAGGCAAGAGTTGTGATTTATCCAAGGTAACACTGAGTTCATTAAAGTGCTCCCAGTTTATTGTTAGAAATGGCACACCCTGAAAAATCAAGTCTTTTCTTTAAGGAGAAAACATACAGGGTGTTCTCCCAAAATGTATACACACTTTGAATAATTATAAAGGCAGCGTTTATTAAATCTGAAAAGAAAGAAACATCAATTGAGCTATCAGCTGTTAAAGTGTGTATACATTTGAGGGGGAATACCCTGTCTTTGTACTATATTTACAAACAGAGTTATTTTAAAAATCATTTGGAAAAGATGTCTCTAAATGATTTTACAGTTTGGAAGAATTCAAACACTAATTAAAATAATGTGAATAAAGTGAGTTAATATATTTACTATGTAGAGAAATATTTTCTCAGAAAAACTGCCGCCAGTGCCGCAGTCCTGTTTGAATAATATTACTAATTCTCAAGTTACATACATAAAATGTATAATACTGTCACATGACTATAACTTCTAATATGTAAAACAAAATAAATTACTATTTCCTGGTTACAGTTAGGATAACATTAAGATTCAGTGTTCAAGGCAAGACATACAAAGATTAGTAATCTCCCAATTATCTCTGCTAATGGAGAAAAGCAGTCATGTAGATAATTTTTTCAATAGGTAATGCAAAAAACCATTTATATCACTTTGCAGGAGGAATTATAATGGGTCTTCACAAAGCCTCATTCATTTTAAACTTTGGCATCTTGGGTTTATAAACATCACCCCCTGTTTAAAGGGCTCCTCAGTACTGCACGCTCCTTTGCTGTGTAGAGCGCCTAACCCTACCATTTCCTGTCTCTCTCTCCCCTGGTTGACTAGCTGACTCCCTTTTTTTTTCTTCAAGAACTAGCCCAAGTTCACCTCCTTGGCATTCCTTTCCTAACATAACAGTAGTCCCTGTCATAGCACACTCCACTCCCCACTTTTCATTAAACTTATCATTTTGTATTGTATTTGTCACTTCTCTCTCCTCCATATTCTGAACCTCTAGAGAAGAAACCATTTTGTCTTGTTTGCTTTGCATTCATGGGTCATGCCTCATATACATCACATAGTGTATACTCAGAAAATGGTTTCTGAATGAATAAAAAAAATGAGTAAAGTATTAAATTAATAAACAGTTCAGCTATATTATAGATCATATAAAACTTTATGATCACATGCAGTTTTATGTATGAGGCCATAGCCCTCATTTATTGTTTTCATGGAAAAAAGTTCTAAGCAGTATTTACTCATTCAACCATCAAACATTTATTAGGCATTCCCTGTCACTGTTCAATTTAAAACAGCACTTACTGTAATATGTAATTATTTTGTTTTCTGGTTTGTCTGTTCCTCTCATAGGCTGTAAGCTTCAATATCTGCCTCTTCATAACTGTATTTTTTCCTCTGTAAATGTGTAATGGATGCCTTAAGCATGTTGCTAGGCACCAGAAATAGACAATGAGTAAAATTTAGGTTTTGTGCTGAGGGAGTCCCATGATAGGAATAGACTAATAAATAGTAGGTGTTGTGATGAAAGTATGTACATGATACAATATAGTAGAGTAAGAAAGGAAGTAATGTTCATTTTACTTGAGGAATTCCAGAAAGCTTTCATAGTGGAAGCGACAGGTGTCAAATCTTAAACGGCGGCTGAAGGGAAAGCATTCCAATTTCACACTAGAGTGCAGTAAGTATATGTGTTCAGAGCACTCTACATAGTTCCCTGTGCTAGGACACAGGAATACTTAGAGAAACTGGAGGGGAATCGAGATAAGACTGAAGAAAGCTGTACGCAGAACATGAAGGAAGGCCTTGTGTGCAGTACTGAGGAGTTTGGATGTTATTGATGACAAAAAACTGCTTACTAGTGCTAGACCTTTTACAAATGTCATCACATGTGATACTCCCACCATATGACACTGGTAGTTCAATTGCTGTCTTACAGATGAAGATTCCCAGGACCACAGTGATTATTGGCAGTAGCTTGTCCAAGGTCACAAAGCTAGGATGTGGCAGAGTTTAGACTCCAGTCAAGAACTCTTCCTGCAAAGCCCATGCTCTTAACGACTAGAGTACATTGCTGCTTTAACGTCTTGGCAGTGGATGGGTGAGTTTTTAGGTAGGGGATGTAGCAGATGCTATTGCTACTTCACACTTGTATCCCTTGCCACTTTACATTTTTGTGCATGCAGGTCCAACTTAACATCTGCCAAAGCTTGTGAATTTTTGTCAGCTTTTCCAGGCTGCAGAAATCCACTCTGCTTACAAGTAGGCCAGCCGGTAGTGCCAGAGAATTAACAGCCCCTCCCCAGGTTCCAGGAGCTTTCAACTAACAGCTGAGGGGAGTGATGAAAAGACACCCCAGATTTGTCACCCCTTGGGCAGGATAACCCTGAGACCTGTGTTCTACCCCAGTTCCCAGAGTATGTGTACATGAATAAGTTCCTTTGCCCACAGTGGTGACTGTTTGACAACATACCCTTTCATGGCTTCCCTTTTCTGTTTCATTTCTCACTCCCCTATGGTGTTTCTTGAGCTTATCTTAAAAATTAACTACTTGTACTCAAATCCTTGTCTCAAGAGTCTATTTCTGGGTGCATACAAATTAAGATAGGGAGTAGTAGGAACAGATTGAAAATCTCCTATGACTTCACTTCAGTTTTTCATTACTAAAAACGGTGACAGAATGAATATCCTTGTTGCTGGGTAGTTATACATGTTCTTTCGACATTAATTCCTGGCTTATGCAGACTTCTAAGGCTTATGAAAAATTACACTTAGGAAGATAAGTTTACGTCTTTACTAGATATATATCCTTGGCACAATGTGTATTATTTTCTTCTTTAACTTTGTAAATCCAGTAGTCAAAAAAAAGTTACTGTTTTTACTTGTTTTACTGTTTTTTGACATTTGAGGTTCAACTTTTTTCACGTAAATTGCCAGTTTAAACATTTTAAGTAAAAAATGGGCAGAGGACCTGAACAGACACCTCTCCCAAGATGACATACAAATGGCCAACAGATGTATGAAAAGATGTTCAGCCTCACTAGCTATTAGGGAAATGCAAATCAAAACTATAATGGAGCTCTGGCCGGTTTGTCTCAGTGGTTAAGAGTATCAGCCTGAGGACTGAAGGGTCAGGGTTCGATTCCAGCCAAGGATATGTACCTCGGTTGCAGGGTCTGTGCAGGAGGCAACCAATCGATGTGTCTCTCTCACATCGATGTTTCTCTCTCTGTCTCCCTTCCATGCTCTCTGAAAAGCAATAGAAAAGATATCCTCAAGTGAGGATTTAAAAATAAATAAATACTACAATGAGAACCTGGACAGTGTGGCTTGTTGAGCATCGACCTGTGAACTTTTATATCATAATAGCATAGCATCTACATTTGCTTACTACCTTCTCTGTGTCAAGCACTTCATATGCAACTTGCCATTAAATCCTCAAAACAATTCTATGTAGTAGAGTTGGTATTAACCTAATTATATAAATGCAGAAACTAAGGCTCAGAAAAGTTGAGTAACTTACCCAAAGTTGCATACTATAGGTAGTCAGTAAATTTGTATTAAATTATTTGTAAATTAAATATTTTAAAAACTCTAAATGTTGTATACAAGTAATTGTTCATGTATATGTGTGTGTGTGTGTGTGTGTGTGTGTGTGTGTGTGTGTATATATATAAAATCAACCTAAGTTTGTACTTTTTGTAAAAGCTAATGTAAAAACTACAAATGGAATTATGATGAAGTTTTTAGCAGCAATTTGTAGGCGTCTGAATTTATTTTGTTACTTTTAGGGAAGTTTTAAAACATCAGTCAAAACAGTTCTTTCTACATACTTTGTCATTCTGATTTTAATACATTCAGGTTGCTACTTTATGTTTTAGACTAATTCCATTTGGTAGCCAAACATTTAGTAATCATACTCTTGTACTTTCTTTTTCAGGCAGATAATGTATCTGTGACAAAGGATTTTAGAAGAGTAGAAAATGCTTATCACATGGAAGCAGAGGTATGTGCTTACCTTAACAAAAAATTGGAAACAGCATTACTTTGTGTGGACAACTTGCATTTATTTTTGCTCTTGAACTGAAAGGTATAGGAGAAATGTTTCTCATCGTATTGATAAAAGGTTATTTTTCTCAAAATCATTTTTGATGTTATATATCTGTGAGCTTTTAAAATAAATTTCATGAGGAGTACTCCTGCCTATTAAAGGCAGAGGATATAATGAAATAGATGAGTTTCCACATACAGATCTGAAAATAACTGCTGGAAGAAGAAATATACCTCACTGACAGCAGTGAAGTATGATGTAATTACTGCTAATTGGGAAGCTAATGGTATAGATTCTACTAAGGAGTCATGAAAAATTTGTCCGAGTTAGAATTCAGCCAAATAAAGTTGAAGGGAAAAACCTCCATTTCTCTTTCATAAAAAAGTCCCTGACTAGTTTAAAATGTATTTTAAAATATTCCAGTTAATATTAGATGAATTATAAAATTCATAAGCAAAAATAAATTTAACAACAAAATAATTTAGTTATAAGTATCAAGTAGGCTTTTCATATCTGTTAAATACTGTAAAATGACCTCAGTGTAATATGGCTTTACTTTTTAAAATCACATTTAGAGAAAATTTTGAAATAATGTATCAGGAATGAAAGTAATTTCAAGTGTCATTTCATTTACAGGTCTGCATTACATTTACCGAATTTGGAAAAATGCAAAATATTTGTAACTTTCTTGTTGAAAAGCTAGATAGCTCTGTTGTCATCAGCCAACCCCAGTTCTATCATACTCCAGGTTCTGTTGAGAATCTTAGGTAAGTTAAGCACATCTTTAACTAAGTTATCAATTAATTAAACAAAACTATTCAGTTTTACAATTCATTGAATGTCATATTAATAATATCTGCATTTAATTCCTAAGACGGCAAGCCTGTCTTGTTGCTGTTGAGAATGCGTGGCGCAAAGCTCAAGAAGTCTGTAACCTTGTTGGCCAAACTCTAGGAAAACCTTTATTAATCAAAGAAGAAGAAACAAAAGAATGGGAAGGCCAAATAGATGATCACCAGTCATCCCAACTCTCAAGTTCATTAACTGTACAACAAAAAATCAAAAATGCAACAATACATGCTGCTTCAAAAGTATTTATAACTTTTGAAGTAAAGGGAAAAGAGAAGAAAAAAAAACATCTCTGAAATTCCAACCAAAATAGGTTGTGTTTGTATCTTTTTGTCTATTTTTATACTTTTTATAATGTTTACTTTTGTACTGAACATATATATATATATTGTATAGTATATAAAGTGTTTCTCCCAAAAATCTGTGAATCCTTAAATATAGTCCCACAGAATACTTGTTTACTTTCTAATTCTAAAACCTTTCTGTGGGAAATACTCTTTGGAAATAAATATTGCACACTTGTATACTGAATTTATATTAGTTCATGTGTAAGTAACTTTTGTATTTCTACTATAGGAAGAAATATTGACACAGTTATTAGCATGATAACATTAATAGAAAGAATGAAGAGCAAAACATAACTTTTGATAAAAGGGTAAGGAAGTATATCATGAAAATGTTTTGATGCCAGAAGTAAAAGATAATATACAGACCAGACCCTCTTCACCAGGGCTTCTTTGATTAATACCAGCACTCTCCAATACAAATATAACATAAGTCACACAAGTAATTTAAAATGTCCTAGTAGACACATTTTTTTAAAAGTAAAAAAAAAAAACAGTCAAAACTAATTTTAATATTTTATTTAACAAAGTATATCCAAAATATTTCATTATGTAATATTTTAAAAATAATTAACAGGTATTTTATATTCATTTTTATACTAAGTCTTCAAAATCCAGTGTATATCTTATAGCACATCTCAGTTCACATGCAAAATTTTCATCAGAAATATTTGATCTGTACTTAAGTTTCCTAAAATTTAGTTGAAACAGTAGATTCACATATGCAAGTTGTCCCAGATATGCCTAAAAGATCTAGTAATTGGATCAACTATCTGTTTCTAAATTAAAATTTTTAAAAATTTAAAATTCAATTCCTTGGTTGTACTAGACACATGTCAAGTATTCTGAAGCCATAAGTGGCTAATGGCCACCATGTTGGACAGTGCAGGGTGATCCACTGAGATAATACTTAAGGCTGTTTGAGATGTAGCCATGTCCATGGCGTTGCTTTTGCAATACTTATTACCCACACAGGCTTCCCATTCCCCACCATACAGCTTAGGTTCTAGGGTTTTTCCTTTATCAATCTTGATACTTATATACCAATATTTCTTTCCTCCAACATATTCCAGTATACAGTTTCCATCCCCACCTTTCTTAAGTTGTACTGGAAGTCTTATCCACCTCTTCTGTAATGTCCTTGGCTGGAGGGAGTGTGGAAGCCAAGATGAAGTTTTAGAATCTGACACCACTATGTTCAAATCCTGACTTGACTCCCAGAGCGTAAGCTCCTTTAGAATGGAGATCTTGTCTGCCCTGTTCTTGGCTGCATTCTCAGACCCAGCATGTGATTAACCAAAGAAGTTATATGCATATATACATAACCCATGGACACAGACAATAGTGTAGTGAAAGCCTGGAGAAGGGGTAAGAGGAGAGTGGAGGGGATGGG